TGTAATTGTACTATTATAGCAGGTGGCATATCTTGGCATGCTGAGCAGGGATGTGTTGATGTGAAAATCTCTACGTATTTTAGAGACAGTGTCTCCCTCTGTTGCCAGGCTGAAGTGCAGTGGTGCCGTCATAGCTCACTAACTTCAAACTCCTGTGCTCAAGTGATCCCCCCACCTCAGCCTCCTGAGTAGTGGGAACTATAAGCACACACTACCACAACCAGCTAATTTTTACATTTGACACCACCACACCCAGCTAAAATTAATTTTTTTTTTTTTTTTTTTAAGCAATAGGATCTTGCTGTTACCCACACTGGTTTTGAACTCCTGGCCTCACGCAATCCTTCTACCTTGGTCTCCCAAAGTGCTGGGATTACAGGCATGATCCACTACATCCAGCCAAAATCTCACTTTAAGTGGAGTCCCTGACTCCAGATACACAATAGGCTGTGGTTCACAGGCACAGACAGCATTCAGCCTGGGGCCACGGGGTAAGAGTTTTCCCTCACATTGTTCCCTGGGTCCTTTCTTCCTCCTAATCTTGCAAACCAGCTGTCAATTGGGTTGATACGGTACCTCTTTCATAGGGTCATTGTGAAGATTAAATGAGTTAGGCCGGGCGAGGTGGCTCACACCTGTAATCCCAGCATTTAGGGAGGCCGAGGCAGGTGGATCGCAAGGTCAACAGATTGAGACCATCCTGGCCAACATGGTGAAACCTCCTCTCTACTAAAAATACAAAAATTAGCCGGGCATGGTGGCACACGTCTATAGTCCCAGCTACTTGGGAGGCTGAGCAGGAGAATTGCTTGAACCAGGGAGGTGGAGGTTACAGTAAGCCAAGATTGCACCATTGCACTACAGCCTGGGCAACAGAGCAAAACTCAAAAAAAAAAAAAAAAGAAAAAAAGAAAGAAAAGAAAAAAAGAAACCTGTGTAGAATGAGGGGAAGCAGTCAGGGGTGAATAAGATGGTCATGAATTGATAATTACTGAAGTTGGGTGGTGGGCTCACGGGGATTTGTTATTCTACTCTCTACTTTTTTTGTGTTTGAAAGTTCATAGGCCAGGGCCGGGCACAGTGGCTCACATCTGTAATCCCAGCACTTTAGGAGGCCGAGGCAGGTGGATCACAAGGTCAAGAGATTGAGACCATCCTGGCCAAAATGGTGAAACCCCGTCTCTACTAAAACTACAAAAATTAGATGGGTGTGGTGGTGCATGCCTGCAGTCCCAGCTACTTGGGAGGCTGAAGCAGGAGAATTGCTTGAACCTGGGAGTCAGAGGTTGCAGTGAGCCAAGATTGCACCACTGCACTCCAGGCTGGTGACAGAGCAAGACTGTCTCAAAGAAAAAAAAAAAAAAAAGGAAAGTTTATAGGCCAGGCGTGGTGGCTTACACCTGTAATCTCAGCATTTTGGGAGGCCGAGGTGGGAGGATCATCTGAGGTCAAGAGTTCGAGACCAGCCTAGCCAACATGGTGAAACGCGTCTCTACTAAAAATACAAAAATTAGCTGGATGGTGGTGCAAGCCTGTAATCCCAGCTACTCAGGAGGCTGAAGCAGGAAAATCGCTTGAATCCAGGAGTCGGCGATTGCAGTGAGCTGACATCGCACCACTGTACTCCAGCCTGGGTGACAGAGTGAGACACTGTCTCAAAAAAAAAAAAGTTCACAATAAATAACGTTGCTCAAAGGAAGCTATTAATAATGTGAGGTCAGGCAGGGTAAAGAGCATCTCCGAGATTCTTTTTTTTTTATAGGGATAGGGTCCTGCTTTGTTGCCTAGGATGGTCTCAAACTCCTGGCTCCAGGGGATCCTCCCACTTCGGCTTCCCAAAGTGCTGGGATAACAGACACGAGCCACCGCATCCAGCCTCCCTCATCTTTGACTAAGAAGTCTCCTAAATCTGAGAACATCTATCAAGGAATTAAGGCACAGGTGTGGCACTCTTCTGGCTTCAGTCTATCACCAGGCAGAGTCCATGCATTCTTCCCAGGGAGACAGAAACAGAGACAGCTTTTGGGCTTTGAGGGAACTGATTCAGCAGGAGGAAGAAGGTGGAGAGAGGCCAATATGCAGAAACCATTGCTGCAGGTGGCTCTGCCCCTTAAGCACTGGGGAGGGTACTGATCCCTCTGGCCCCGCTCCCGGCCTTCACCCCAAGGTGAAGTACACTTTCTCAGGTCCCCAAGGATGGGTGGCCAAGTCTCATCTCCACATTATCTGGCTGTGAGGGTGACCTGTCTGGCTTTCCCCGCTAAGCGCACCCCCTGCAGCTGAAAGCCACACCCATAACACAGGACTCCTGAGATCTGACACTGGCCAATTCACACCTGCTTGAAGCTGGCATTTGAGAGGTCTTCAGGTTGACAACAGCAGACACAAGGTTGCTGTTCAAAGTAGGCCAAGTCAGGGCTTTGAGCAGCAGCATCATTTGAAAATTCATGGGGTTGGCCAGGCACGGTGGCTCATGCCTGTAATCCCAGCACTTTGAGAAGCTGAAGCGGGCGGAGCACTTGAGGTCAGGAGTTCCAAGACCAGCCTGGCCAACATGGTGAAACCCCGTCTCTACTAAAAGTACAAAAATTAGCCTAGTGTGGTGGCAGGCACCTGTAATCCCAGCTACTTGGGAGGCTGAGGCAGGAGAATCACTTGAACCCAGGAGGCAGAGGTTGCAGTGAGCTGAGATCATGCCACTGCACTCCAGCAGCCTGAGCAACAGACTAAGACTGTCTCAAAAAAAAAAAAAAAAAAAAAAAAAAAAAAAAAAAAGTCAGTATGGGCTTGAGGGGGAAAAAAAGACAGAAAGAAAGAAAGAAAAAAGTGCTGGGGGGCAGGGGGCTGGGTACAGTGTCTCACATCTGTAATCCCAGCACTTTGGGAGGCTAAGGCAAGCTCTCATGAGGCCAGCCTGGGCAACAAAACAGCATGACCTCATCTCTACAAAACGTTTAAAAATTAGCCAGGCATGGTGGTATGCACTTGAAGTCCTAGCTACTCAGAAGGTCGAGGAAGGAGAATCACTTAAGTCCAGGAGTTTGAGGATACAGTGAGCTATAATCACACCACTTCGCTAGAGGCTGGGTGATTCTCTTTAAAAAAAAAAAAAAAAAAAAAAGGCAGGAGGCGGGGCTAGAAAGATCCTTCAACACTTCCCACCTGCCTTACCCAGGGTGTCTCCCACAATGGCTGGTTACTGTGCTAAAATGCTTTTTTTTTTTCCTCTCTCTCTTTGTTGAGACAGGGTCTCAGTCTGTCACCCAGACTGGAGTGCAGTGGTGCGACCTCAGCTCACTACAACCTCTGCCTCCTGGCGGGCTTAAGTGATCTTCCCACCTGAGCCTCCCAAGAAGCTGGGACTACAGATGAGTGCCACCATGCCCAGTTAATTTTTGTATTTTTTACCTAGGCTGGTACAGCGCTAAAATTCTACCACTTGGGAACAGTGTTTGGGCCTACATATTGCCTTTTTTTTCCTGGAGACAGAGTATCACTCTGTCCCCCAGGCTGGAGTGCAATGGCATAATCTCGGTTTACTGCAACCTCCACCTCCTGGGTTCAAATGATTCTTGTGCCTCAGCCTCCCAAGTAGCTGGGATTATAGGTTCGTGCCACCACACCTGGCTAATTTTAGTATTTTTAGTAGAGACGGGGTTTCACCATGTTGGCCAAGCTGGTCTTGAACTCCTGACCTCAGGCAATCCACCAACCTCAGGCTCCCAAAGTGCTGGGATTACAGGTGTGAGCCACCGCGCCAGCCCATGCTGCCTTTTTCAGATACTTTTTTCAAAGCTACCCTGGGACAGTAATACATTAAAACTAATACCTGTGCATAAATTGTCAACTGACCTGCCCAGCATGGGTTCCTAACTGGGGTTTAAGGTGGGGGGACAGAGGGCTTTTTAAGATTGGGGGTGAGGGATGGGGAGTGGTACAGCTTGGGTAGGGTCCACTCCTGGTTCTAGGGTGCAGGTTGCCGGATCTGGAGCATGGAATGAAGAGATGTTCAGACATAGATGTCATTAGGTTGCTGAACGCCCCTAGGGCAGTGGAGAGAAAAAGCTGTAGCAGCCAAGGCAGGGTGTAGATCCCTGGAGGCGGACAGCTTGGGAGGGGCCACAGTGAGCCCCACCTCTGATGGCTCTAGTTCTTGTCCCTTGCAGAGCTCAGAAATGGAGGTGGCTCCTGTGCCTTGTCCAGCAATGGCTGCCTGGAAAGAACCCATGAGGATAACCCCAATCTATCCCAATGTGTTTCTGGTGTTATTGTAGCTAATCTCCCCACCAGTGGGTGAGCTCAGGGTGGGGGAACCTGGCTGCTGGGAGTCGAAATGCCCTAGAGCCTCCATCCTGTACAGTTGCCCAGTGAACATACCTCCCTCCCCAGCAATTTCTCCAGGTACAAGATAAAGTAAGGAGCAAATATAAAGATAAATCTGTGAGGCAGAAGGGTCTGGTCTGCCTCTAAAGGAGTAGCCAAGGGCTCTCTTTCTCTGCAATTTTTTTTTTTTTTTTTTGAGAGAGGCTCTCACTCTGTCACTCACATTGGAGTGCAGTGGCACGATCCTAGCTCACTGCAGCTTCAAACTTCTGGGCTGGAGTGATCCTCCCTCCCCAGCCTCCTGAGTAGCTAGGACAACAGGTGCACCACCACGCCTGGCTAATCTTTTAGAGATGGGGTCCCTGTTGCCCACCACGCCTAGCCCCTCAACACTTAATAGTGATAATAAGGGCCGGGCGCGGTGGCTCATGCCTGTAATCCCAGCACTTTGGGAGGCCAAGGTGGGCAGATCACGAGGTCAGGAGATCGAGACCATCCTGGGCCAACATGGTGAAACCCCATCTCTACTAAAAATACAAAAAAAAGTTAGCTGGGCGTGGTGGCACACCTGTAGTCCCAGCTACTCGGGTGGCTGAAGGAGAATCTCTCAAACCTGGGAGGCGGAGGCTGCAGTGAGCTGCAATCACGCCACTGCACTCTAGCCTGGCAACAGAGCAAGACTCTGTCTCAAAAAAAAAAAAAGTGATAATAACACATATTCAATCCTTGGTAAATGCCAGGACTCATCCTAAGATCTATATGGATAAACTTTAATCCTCACAGCACTGGGAAATACACATAGATACTGATCATTTTATAGGTGAGAAAACTAAAGCACAGAGAGATGGATCCCTTGCCCAAGGTTGCAGAGCTGGTGAGAGGCAGCATGGGAAGAGGTCTCGGCTGCCTGCGTGCAGAGCTGCACCACTGGCCCCTGTGCACTCCTCTCCTCATGCTCTCAGCTCTACCAGCTCGGACAGGAGAGAGGTGGGAGAAGCAGTTAGTGACCACCTGCTCTGGGCTAGGCACTTGGCAAACACTTGCAGGTTTCAATGTCAGAATAACCCAGTGAAGAATGAGCCAGATACTCATTGTCCACATGGAGAAGCAAGCCCAGAAGTCTGACATCCACCAAGGCCATGCAGCCCAGGAAGTGGGGAGCTGAAATCCAAACCTCTGCCTGAGCTGTGCCCGCCAGGTGTTTCCTCCCCAGCCCATGTAGGGGGCTGAAGAGAAGGGAGCCAGAGGGGAGGGAAAGCGGAGGCTGGAGAGGAGCTTCAGAGGTCTTCCTCAGGCCTGGCAGCTGCCCCTGGCTTCCCTGAGATCCCAGGAACCTCCAGACCTTCCCAGGATTGCCCAGAAGGGGAGGGGGCCCAGTGGGGCAGGAACCCAAGGCATTTGGGCCCATGGAGAGCAGCTACCCTGCCACTCCTGCCTGCCTGAGTGCAACGGTCTAGAAGCCAGGTCTTGTGGAGTCGTCCACACACTACACACCTACCCTGAGGCCTTAGGGGACCAGTGCAACAGGAGGAGCATTCCCAACTCCCATGTGTTCCAGTGGCTCCCCCGATCCACCTGGGCCAACAGGGCTGAGGCCTGGACGGGGAAGCTCCTCTGGAGGACATGGGTGATAACCTGGGTTACTGGTGGAGGTCTGGAGCATCGAGGGCAGCCCAGGTCCCAGAAAGCCAAGGATAGGGATGCACAGAGGGCACAGCGGGGATGGAGATGCTGCTCTCAGGACTTGGTTCAGCCAAGGCACGTCCTGCTGCCAGGGCTGCAGTCCCTTAGCTCCCCTCTGACATAGCTTCCACCATCCCTAAGAAAGCAATAAGGGGCTTTGGAGAGCAGCCAGGTATACTGCAGGAACGGAGCAGATGGGTGGTGGGAAGGGCCCAGGGCTGCACTAGAGCTGGCGCCGCTGGTACAGCACTGCCAGGAGTATGGCTGCCAGCACCCCTGCCACAGCTGCCTGGAGCCACGGAGACCCAAGCGAGGACCAGTGGCATGGCACCTCCTCGTCCTGGAACTTCTGGTCGGTGTGTGGCCTGGGGCCACCCTCCAGGTCTGCAGGTGGCCCAGGGTTGCCCTCCAGGAGCTGGATGCTGGGGTTCTCAGCCACGTGGATCCCAAAGCTGCCCTCGGACTTGTACTCATTTTCCTCTGGGCCATGGCAGGGCCCCACGCCCAAGGAGCTGCTGGCACTGATGGCAAGATCCTCAGAGCAGCCCGAGAATAGGCTGTCTACCTGGGATACCAGCACGTCAGGCTTGCTCAACTCCGACCCAAGGCCCCCATTCTCCGAGCTATCGTCTAGCCAGGCTGAGCTGCCTCCAGTGGCACCTGTGGGTGTTGGAGCTGCTGGGTTCTCCTGGGAAAGAAAGGAAAGCACTGGAAGGGACTGGGGGTTGGCAGGGAGACAAGCCTGCTAGGCTGGTCTCATTCCCAGCTAATACTCCAACCGCTCAATTCCCAGTCTATAATGCCTCTAGGTCACCTTTTCTTGGAGCGGGGGGAAGAGGGGACCAAGGCCCTGCACCAATGTTGGCCTTCTCCAGGGCAGCCTTTCCCTGCTCCCTGGCATGCCTATAAACTCATGCCCACCTGGAAGCAGGGCCCCATCCTGCACTGACATCCTGCCTGGGCCTGAGAACCAGAGAGCAGCCACAGGGTCAGAGGCCTGGCCATGCACCCAAAGGTCCCTATGGACTAGGTTCCTCCCAGCAGCAGCTAGGGTTAGATATGAGGCTTGGAGCAGGTAGCGATGGGGGGCTGCTGTGTCAGAGTGGCTGCTCCAGGCTGGGATTGCATTCTGTAAAGCCTGGCCATGGAGGGGCAGGCTAGGCATCCTGGTGGTAAAGAGCAAGGCACAAGGCAGACAGGCCACTGCACTCTACTCCTCACTGCTTCCTCATGTGCAAAACAGCACGGCTCGGCTTTACTAGGAGCTACGAACCCTAAATGAACTTATGCACCTGACCAGTGGGGTGCCCCCCCTGGCTGACCCTCCGGAGGTTTCCAGACTTAGGAGCTGTAATGACTGTTCCTCCTGGAGAACATGGTGTGGGCCTGGATGAGGCTGGTTCTCAGCTGTCCGTATGCCCACAAGAAGCCACAGAGCAGCCCAGGCTGGAGACAGAATGCAGACTGGGAAGGGGCCAAGGCCAGGGCCAGGTAGGCAAGCTCTCCCGGGGAAGGGGCCTGGATCCCTGCTAGGAGGGTGAGGACTCACCTCAGCTCTGCTGCTTCTGCTGGTGAGTACTGTGCTGGCATTCCCTGTGGTGAGCATCATGCTAGTGGGCACTTTGGATGGCACCATGTCAGCACGGGTTGAGTTGATGGGCAATTTGGATGGTGCTGGATTGGTGAGCACATTAGAAGGCACTGCACCAGGGGGCTTCGAGCCAGATGGCAACTTGGAGGGCACTGTGCTGGCAGATGCTGGGTTGGCAGGCACTTCCAGGGGCACTGTGTTCACAGGCATCAAGGTGGTAGGCACTTTGGAGGGCAGAGAGTTGGCAGGTGCCTCTGCCCCCCTGGAGCAGATGATAGGCTCGGGCTGGTCACCCTCTTCAGCTCCTACAGAGGCCAAGCCAGGGGATGAGGAGGAGGAGAAGGTACCAGTAGAAACTGACCCTGCAGGTCCAGGCAACTGGCTTGCCCTGGGGGTGGATCGGACCAGAGGCTGGAAGGAGACTGATGGAGACACAGGCCCACGGGATGGCGTGAGGCTGGAGGTTGCAGCTGCAGATGGTAAAACACAAGTGGAAACACAGACTCAAAGACTGTTACCTTCAGGCCTGGAGAAGGGCCCCTCTGCGCCAGGTCTCACGGTTCCTACTGCATCTAGGCCTCCAAATCTCCTGCCCTTGGAGGAGATGCCACAGTCCCTTTGGTCACTGCTTCCCAGCCTGAAAGCCCAACAGCTTCCCTCAGTCCTTGACCTGTAGCCCAAGGTCTACCCTGGCACACGGTGAAATGGTACCTTGGAGCTTGAAGATCATTATTTATTATTCTCTCTGCTTTTTCCTCTCCCATCTGGGAAGCCTCCCCTCTCCTCCTGTGTCTGCCTTTTCTACCTTGACATTAGCCTCATGGAATCCTGGACACTTCCCCCACTGCTGTCCCTCCTCCAGCACCACGAGTGGGAACAGCCCTGGATCAGGGTGAGGGGTGGCAGGATGGCTCATGCAGAACAGCTCAGACCAGCCAAGAGGCCCGGCCATCCCAGAGGCTTGAGAAGAGCGCGGACAGGGACAAAGCCACCCCTGGGAGGCTGCCTGACCTGGGTTGGGGAAGCAGGGAGGGGGTAGCAGGTGGTGATGGTCTATAAAGGCGGTTGCAGCAGGATTCTCCATGGAACTTGGAATGCACATGCCAGGCCCCACAGCTGGTAAAGGTCAAGGTGATTCTGATGTACACCCCCACCACCACAATCTCACACCATAGAATCTCATGGGACCTGTGTCTACAAACGTACCGAAACCTAATTGCCCTGTCTCCATGGCCTACAGCAACTCCCAAAAGGCATCCCATGGCCAGGTGACACTGCAAAGCAGAGACAGGTGCTTGGAGCAGTTTGGGGATGACGAAAGTACTGAGATGACGTCTCCCAGCCTTTAACTGCTCATGTGCCTTTTGGCTGTTCCAGGGCACTGAGGGCTGACAGGGCACCAGCGTCATGTGAAACAGTTTGGAAACCGGGAGAGAGACATGCTAGCCTGAGAGGTCCAGGCAGACAACTATATATTTCTGAGGGGAGCACTGAGGTCTGGAGTGGGGTCCAGGCCCCTGGATGATGACCTTACTTCCTCTGGGGACTAAGAAGTTTTCGGGATGCACTGGGAACTGAGATCTCTTTGTGGTAAGGCAGTGCCTAAAGGCCTCCCTGCCAACAGCTGGTGCAGCCCTGCACTGTGCCTCTCCCACCGCCCTCCAGGCCCTGGCTGCTCCCTACAGCCTCTTTGACAGAGCGCAAAAACGGCCCTACTTATCTCACCCACCTCCACCCAGCCCCCCTGCACTGTGCCAGTCAGTCCTCCCGTCTAGGGAGGGAGTCTATTTCCCTACTCCTTGAATCTAGGCTGGCCTTATAACTTGTTTTTGCCCACAGAATGGGGCACAGGGACATTGTGCTAGTTTTGAGCCCTCTCTTGTCTCTCTCAGAACTCCACCCAACAGCCGTGATGGATTTGTGTGCTGGAGGATGAGAGACTGCAAAGAAGAGAACCAAGGTGCTCAGCCAATAGCCAGAGG